AAATTTGCGTCGGGTTATGACCAACTCGGGATACGCCCAGAGTCACGGAACGGATTAAGTTCGTATCCTGAGGTACCACTGTATATTTATATATCTGACCTGGATTGGAGCACATACAGAAAAACCCTATTAAAAATGTCCTACTGTGTTATCAGAACCAGGTGCAGAAGTTAATAACATTTTTCTTGCTTCTTGTGCAGAATATCTTGAAGAAAATGGAAGAAAAATCTGAACGTGAAATCACTGCCCTCGAGGCTCACAAGGAACTGGAAATAGTAAGTTTGTTTAGGTTTTCCACTTTCTCTTTTAGACAAATGCAGTTTTAATGAGCTGACAGCCATGAAAATGGCATTATAATATTTTTATAAAATTCTTCAGTTGGCCTTAAAGGAAACTATTCAAATGATTACGTGAGCAGGGATTGATTAGTGGTGATTTGACATTAAACTGTATACCTATGTAAGGATCCTTAGAGGAAATACGTTTTCTGAGGAAAAACAGATTCTGACTTTAGGATCCAATAGCTTTTGTCAGACGCTTGAAGGTGATAAAAATCCATGGAGAGCAGTTAATTTAATTAGCTGCCACCGTTCGAAGACTGTTAGTAGGTCAGATTTGCATCTAGAAGTGCAGGATTACTTTTATGATCCCAAAGTTGTTGAGTCATGGCATGTATCTTTAAAAGTGTTTCATTTCATTTGAACTCCATTTTTAGGAATCCCCTGAGCATGTGTCCTCTCTGTCCAAATGCACATTTCTGGGCTAGGCCAAATTATACATTTTACTATTAAGCTGAACCAGTGTCTGATAAGAAGGGAAATATGAAGGTACCTGCCCTCCCTTAGTCATGCAGGATGGCAACTCTGCCTCCAGTCTAGTCCATCCATGTTGAGGCCAAAAGTATACATATTGCCTGCAGATATAAATTAAAGCTAAACACTCATTTCTATTTTTAAAAAGTTGTAACCTGTGATTTTTACCATGCACAAAAACCAATTGTGACCTTACTTGGAGTGGGAATACCTTATGACAGTGACTCATGTGCTTATCACCACCCGGTTGGAATAATGCAATTTGCTCTACATGAACTGCTTTCAAAAACCACTCTGAAACTCTGCTTGGTTCAAAATGCAGCAACCCATGTGTTATAAAAATTGAATATATAAATGAATAAGATATTCTGGTTTTGACATGATTCAATAATGGGAACTAGATTGGAATTTCACAGCATCCCAGTATGTTGAACAGGCCATAACATATTGGCAGGTGCATGCCAAAAGTTATGTAGCAAGCAGAAATATATCTTTAAAATCATTCAGAAATGATTCTTTTGATCAGCCCTCAATATCAGTGGGACCAGGATCTTAATAGCATATTAAGACTTATATGCTAAGTCTTACAGCCAAATATTTTAGTGCAATTGAATTAGTCTGCCCACCCTGTTTGAATGAAACATTAAATTTCAGAAACATTATTTATTTATTTATCATATTTATATAGCCGCCCATCTCACACAAGGTGACTCTGGGTGGTGTACAACAGTTAAAAAGAATAAATATATAAAAACAATTACACATAAAAAACTGTAAAAACACAAAATAGGAGGGGATAAAATTAATAAGGGAGCCATCATAAAATCTCCCTGGTCCCCTGGGACCCCCTGGCCTGATCACATAGCCAGGTCTTGAGGGACTTGCGGAATGTTAAGAGGAATGGAGCTAATCTCACTTCTGGTGGGAAAAGATTCCACAAGGCGTGTGTCACGGCAGAGAAGGCCCACCTCTTGGGACCCGCCAAATGTAATTCTCTAGCAGACGGGATCCGCAGCATGTCTTCTCTGCCAGATCTGATGGGACGGGTAGATGTAATCGGGGAGAGGCAGTCCCTCAGGTAACCCGGCCCCATGGCATGAAGGGTTTTAAAGATCAAAGCCAGCACCTTGAATTGGACCCAGAAGTAAACTGGCAACCAGTGCAGCTTGTGGAGCAGAGGTGTAACTTGTACCGCCCTAGGGGCACACATACTGCCTGCACCACTGCATTTTCCGCCAGCTGAAGCTTCCGGATACTCTTCAAGGGCAGCCCTATGTAGAGCACATTACAGAAATCCAAATGGGAGGTGACCAGGGCATGAGTGACAGTGATTA